TGGCCATCACAATTCTCATAGAGGTTGCAAGAGTTGGGGTGGTGGTTCTTAGAGTTTGGTTTGCTACTAGAGCTGACAATGAAGTTGATATTTTGAACTAGTTCTTAAATCAATGAATCGATATGTCAGAGTTGCAAATCAATGAATGGATATTTGTATCCCTCTCTTATATTTTTAGTCGAATTTATGTTTGTAGAAATAGTTACTCCTATTTAAATATAATATAATGGTAATGTTTCACTGTTGTCTGTGTCTTTTTTCAAATAGTGAAATTTCATCATTTTTCATTAAAAGTTTTCCTTGTGACATCGGATTTTAACTTCAAAAATTGCCCGAGACCTTTCATTTTTAGATCAATGATCGTAATTAACAAGAGTTTTTTTTATTAGATCAGTTTCTTATATGAACCTAAATATATATGTGTACATATAAGTCTTTATTTGTTTGTGTGATTTCATTCGTGTGTGCATGCACATATGAATTGTTATATGTCATTTGATTGTGAGAATGTGTATTGACCTCTCCCCCTCCCTTGTCTTTAGAACTTTGTTTCGATTCAGATATTTATTTACAACCAATGCATTTTTTTTGAGATTTTAAACTACAACCAATGCATATCACACCTTAATACGGGATATATAGTATGACAATGAATATCTAAGTCTCAGCAAAAAATCATTTAACTGAATAATGTTTTATTGATGTTCTTAAAATGCTTTGAATACATATGGTGGAAAAACACTTTTAAGGAAAGACATGTCTTTGTGATTAATAACATACAATTTGACAAGTGCAAAGGCTTTGGTTTGCTGCAAGAGCAGAACATACACACTTTTGAGGCATCTCACTTGCTGGCCAATGGAACACCGCCAAGGTTCCACAACTAATGTTACCACACACATCATCTACGGTAAAAGTTCCTGGACAAAACTTGATGTCATCCCCTAAAACAAAAACAGAAATATAAAACTGTGTAAGAGATAAATTCAATACTCATACATAACATTTATCATCTTCTAATCTATTATCTTTTGTCTTAAGATAAAATTATTAACTCCCATACCATGCATGTAAAATGATTGCTATAGTAATTTTTTTTGTTACAACAGAATAGATCAGATAGTATAATACCAATTCAGGTATTATTAAAATAACGTTGTTGAATTAATTATATTCATATAGGTATTGGAAAACATACCTATAGACGTAGGAAGAAGACTCAACAAAATTACCAAGAAAAGAAAAGCGGTTACACTATAACTCTTCATGTATCTGGTGGTGTCATAGACGCGCGCGCCCACACATATATATATATATTCATTTGTGTGTAAGTATCTTGAAAAGTAGAAATAATATCTAAACTTAAATAGAAAGACAATCAAGTCATGGACCTATTTGATATATAAAAAGTTCATTGAAACAGTATGATAACGTCTAAATAAAGGATGTACTTAAATTCATTTATATGAATGAATGAATGTTCATAATGATACAATTGAACAATTAAAAAATCTATGTAAAATACTCGCATGTTTCCACTCTTATAATGCCTAAAAGTGTAATGCTATAAATACATTAAATGTGTACATTTCAAGGAGATTCTCTTTTGTGGCTAATATTCATTAGGGATTTGAGGATGAAAAAATTAAGTATGTCATCGATCACTATCCAATGAATGTGTGATGACATGTCGGAATGTCCTCATACGATATCCATATTTATTCAGTGTCTTCTTATCTTTACTCAGAGTGTACATATTATGAAATAACACATGATGTAATTTTAACCATCAACTTAACTCTCTTACATAATTGATAAAGCATATGGATTCGGACCTCCGATCTCACGACTATTGGGCATGGACAACGACCCACATACGCTCAACAATTATTGTTTATAGTATTGTACACTTTATTTATTCATATATACCCATTAGAATTAATCTTATAACATATATTAGCCCTTTTATGTACTTGGGCCTGTCATGCCCAAACCTGACAGCCTAGATCACATTTGTCCTATAAATATTCTCCTTGTAAGCCATATAAATGGTTGGAAATTCATTTATTCTATCATTTTCTCTCTCTAGCTCTCACCCCTCTCTAGATGGTGTCAGCAGATAGTTGGATACCAATGTTGTTTGATGAATGAGAAGATGGAACCATCAACAACAGTTGCATTGAGGTAGAATTCAACAACTTCCATTAGGCTGAAGTGCTCGTAGGGGTGAGCAACGATTTTGTGGAGTTGAGAACTACGCATCCCTTTGATGGTTCTTTTCATCCGTTTGGCGTCTTCGGCCAGTTCATGTATAGTAGGGCAGTGAGGTTGCATACTATCCTAGTGGTGATGTAGATGATCAAATTACGGGGTTCCTTTTAAGATAGATTTGTGATGTTGATGAATGCCATTGATGGGCGGTGATGGTCCCTAGTGAGATAAAAGTCTAGAGAGGAATAGACTTTTATTGATTTTCGCTTTTTCAAAGTTTCCCCTCTAATAGAGTAAGTTCCAAAGTCTTTTGGAGACCTTGAAACTGACAGTGGAAGTTTCCACCTCATATAGTGCGACACTTATAGTAACAAAGGTTAATGACCCTTTTAGTTTGGTGAGGAGATGAAGTTAGACAAGAACCAAAGTATTCCTGAAATGATTGAGGACTACTAGTGATGAGTAGCAGGCTACTAGTAGCCCAGTCTGGCAGCAGGATGCTGAAGACTTGGCCAATCAGCAGGCAACTGATGACTTAACATGACACTGCTTGTCACAGTACTGTGATAGCAAGGTAGTCCAAGAATTGCTTCTGGAGTGGGGTGGATAGCTTGTGAATACTTTGAAGAGTGAGACGTGTTTGAAGGATGTCATCACCCTTATCAGTAGGGCTGTTAACGAGCCGAGCCGAGCCCGAACACCTAAAGCTCGAGTTCGGCTAGATAAGGAATAAATGGTGTTCGGGTTCGAGCTCGAAGCTCGGCGAGCTTTACAAATGAGGCTCGTGTTCGGCTCGATAGGCGTTCGATGTTCGAATCGAGCGCTCGATAAGCTCGATAAATATGGTAGAATTTAAAATTTTAGGTGATGCTCGTTAATAGGCTCGTGCTCGAATGATTCGACAAGTATTCGGTTCATTAATAAACATATTTAAATTCATAAAATCATATTAATTATATTTAAATTTTGATTATATATAAATTATATTTATAATTTCAGGGTGTTCGTTAGGCTCGAGCTCGAACCGAGCCGAATACTACTATGTTCGAGCTTGGCTCGATTAATATTTCGAACTTAAAACTTAGCTCGGGTTCGAGTTCGAAAGCTCGTTAAGCTCGGCTCGTTAGGTTCGAAACCGAGCTCGAACTCGAATAGTTCGATAAAAGCTCGGTTCGTTAACAGCCCTGCTTTTCAGTATGATGTTGTTAGCTAGCTTAACAGTAGAGTGTTGCCAGCATGCTTATCGCACGTCTTTGTGATTAATCACATACAATTTGACATGTGCAAAGGCATTGGTTTGCTTCAAGAATAGACTATACACACTGCTTGAGGCATCTCACTTGCCGGCCAATGGAACAACGCCAAGTATCCACAACTAATGACTAATGTTACTACACATATCATCTACGGTAAAAGTTCATGGGCAAAACTTGATGTCCCCCAGAACAAAAACAAAAGTATATAACTAGTTAAGAGATAAATTTGATACTCATACATAACATTGGGAAAACTGTCAAATAAGTCATCGAACTTTCATAAAAAAGTCAATTAAGTCCTTCTATAGGAGACTCTGTCCGGCCGTCGCGATTTGGGGCGGTTTCCGGTGGAATTTTTTGATGAAATTTTTTGAGCATCTTATTCATCAAGTCTAGTTTACTCATACCAAATTTCAGCTAAAAATTCAATTGGAAACGTATTCAAATTAATTCGAGAACACAAAAATGCGCAGTTATCTTCACGAATTAATTTGAAAGTGTTCCCGATTGAATTTTTAGCTGACATTTGGTATGAGTAAACTAGATCTGATGAATAAGATGCTCAAAAAATTTCATCAAAAAATTCCACCGGGAACCACCCCAAATCGCGACGGCCGGACAGAACCTCCTATACAAGGACTTAATTGACTTTTTTATGAAAGTTCGAGAACCTATTTGACAGTTTTCCCCGTAACATTTAATCATCTTCTAATTTTAAGTAATTTGGCTTAGGATAAAATTACCAAATCCCATATCATCCATGTTAATGTATGTTAAATTAAATTTCATATCTCTTAAATCCACAAAAAAATGTCTACAATATATACTTCTTCTTCATGCAGTGTATAACTTATGACAAAGTTATAAGAGACGGAGGGAGTATTGTTTTAATAAGTCAAGATAATATATTATCAGATTACAAACCATATTTGTTTCTTGGTATTTCTTCTTTACTACATGCTAATGAAGAAATGTCATTGAAATTAATTGAGTCAAATGAATTACGATTACAAATAAGACTTTCTATTCGTGATAAAGAAATTTCTAAAATTTTAAGATCACATATTCTAAATATTCTTTTTATGTACTATCGTATATGATGAATATTACTAGAGAGTCTTCTCCTTGAACTCCTCAATAATATTTATTCCATGAGTAGCTAAGTAGGAAAAATAACAATCAATTGTGATATATAATTATGATAATGAATTAATAGTTACTTTTAAAAGTAAATGATGAAAATGGTTATACAAAAACTCTCCCTCAACGACAAAGAACTGTGTTCTTGTTAGCTTTAGCTGGCTCATCCTGTACTTTGTGTTTTAGTTGCTGGGTGTCTTGAGATAATAAAATGCTCTTTTTGTCTACCAAAACCCCGGATTACCTCACCTCTCCATGCAAAAAAGTATTCACGTCTTCCTTCTTCGGGTTACAAAGAATCAATTTTCTTTCCTTCCACGTTTTCTCTGCTTTCCACTTTGCTTTCTCCACTCCCCAATTACCTCATCAGTCTTCACAGTATGCAGTGTAAACCGTCTCTTTTGCTCCCTCATTACATTTCAACTCTTCCATTGTCTAAGCTTCCCCTCATTTCTTTTCCGAATTCCAGTCATCACTTTTGCAAAATCCTGTCATTTCCTTTCCCACTTTCAATTACTCCCCGCTTAATAAATCCCAATGCAGTTTGTATATGGAGTGCTGCTATGACTGAAATGTGATCAATTTGGGAATTTCTAACCTCGAAGTACCCGTATTTGGAATTGTAGTATTCTCCTCGAATCATTCGAATGCAGGGAGAAGGGCAAGATTCTGTATGTATTTGTGCATGACTAGTAACTGGAGCTGTAGTTGCTTGTGATTTGGAATAGTGATAACTGGGCCGGGAGTGGAATATGAGCAATACTTTTGGGAGTAACTTGTTGCAGGCGAGATTCCATTCTTCTGGGGTGTCTGTATATCATAGAAGAATCAGCTCCCCTCCTTATCTTGGGGGTAGTTCCTTGTTTGAGTCTCAAGTGAATTCATTGTTAAGGAAATCTCCTTTATTAAATGAATTGTGTGTTGAAAGATTTCCTCTTCAGAAAGGAAAGTTTCCAATGGCACATCAGCCTTCAGTGTCTTGTTCACTTAAGGCCATGTTTGCAGCCGACCCTTCTTCGGAGGTAAAAATTTTGAACTTTGAATCTATTTTCCTTATTAGCTTATGACATTTATCATCTGTATGTGCTCATTGTATTTGGGCATCACATTTGCATTTAGTTTGAGGGCTTCAAGCACATTGAGGAAATGGGTGAATGGCTCTACTGAGTCACATTTGTGTCGATTATTTTGTATTCTATCTTTTCAATCTTATATAAATGTTTTTTATCTTGTTTTTTCTTTTTCGCAGAATTCTCAAAAATTCAAACTTGAAAGAAATATGGAACTCCAGGTATTTCAGCTGGTATTGCTAGTGTAATTGATAATATTGACTCCACATACATGTTAGTGATTTACAAGAAGTATATTTGTCAATGGGACCTGTAGCTCATTAAGAGTCCTAAGTGAATTGCATCGTTTTGCTAATGATCCTCATTGGCATTTAACGTATATCTGTGAAATATGTTAGGGAGTATATTTATAGTTTCTGTTTGATTTAACAGGTTGATATTAAGGCCCCCATGTCAGGTCATGTGCTGATTGATTATAAAGTTCCCAGAAGCGCTAGTGGCTTATTTCTTCATTGGGGTGCGATCAAACCTGGGAATGAGTAAGGCTTAACTTTAATTATGTTTCAGGTTAATTGAACTTTCTGTTAGAGGCATATTACAATCCTATTTATCTGTCATTCTATTAGCAAGTGGATTCTTCCTGGCTGTCGTCCAAATGGGAGCACAGTATATAAGAACAAGGCACTTCGATCTCCTTTTATGCAAGTAAGTTCATTCACTTCATTGTCAGGATAGAATCTCTGTAAAAATATCAAATGTTTTATATATGAAAGTTTCACTTGTGAACTATTACTGAAAGTGAACGCTTGTTTATACAAGCAGGCTGGCCCCGACTCTGTTGTAACGTTAGATATAGATGATCCTGCAATACAAGCCATAGAGTTTGTTATATATCACAAACCTCATAATAAATGGTATAGTGTCATCTTCTAAAAGGAAGTGTTTTCTTTTGTAAGTGGAGATAAGAATATGGGACTAGATCCGGTCTTTTTTCCTTTTCGCTTTCACCAGGATAAAGAACAGGGGCAAGAATTTCCACATTAAGTTGCCTCAGAGAAAACCACAGTCAAATCTTTCTGTTCCTGAGGATCTTGTGAAGATACAGGCATACTTGAGGTGGGAGAGGAAAGGAAAACAAACATATAAACCTCAGCAAGAAAAAGTATGTAATTAATGCTATTTGTTTCTCATACTCTATATTTTCTATTTCATTAATATGAAACCTGCTTGAAATGCTCAAGTTCATGAAACATGAGTTCACTCACTCACTGGATCTCACAGATGGTCACTATGAGGGGCTTTCTGTTTTATGGAGAAGCTATTTGTCAGTGCCTATCAAGCCTATGCTATTATGCATCTATATCTTCGTAATTATTGAAATAGGCACACATTGTTATTGTTTTTATTATTACCAATTTTCACACTCATGCCCTTTTTCTCTTATAGTGCTATTTGTTTTTTAGTATGAAAATTTAGTTGCAATATGTTAAAAATGATCACCTATATATCTATGAAAAATGTAATATTGTTTGAAGGATGAATACGAAGCGGCAAGAACTGAACTTTTAGAGGAAATATCAAGAGGTACTTCCATAGTGGACATTCGAGCGCGATTAACAAAGAAGACTGATACACATAAACTCAAAGAGCAAGCTCTTGGCCAAGGAAAGGGCGGTATACCAACAGAGCTTGTGCAAACCCAAGCATTTATACGTCAGGAGAAAGCAGGAAAACCAATCTACTCTTCAGTAGAACAACTTGTAAATCCTGAATCCATGTTATGTTGAACAATGAAATGCCAATGTATCTCCAGAAATTTCAACTATAAATCCTAATTTTTATTCACTCAACTACAGAAACAATTTGAAGAAGCAAGAAAAGGATTGCAACTTGAACATGAGAAAAGAATTTCACTTGACGAGTTGCGGAAGAAGAATTTTGAAGGAGAAATACAAGCTAATTCTCTCAAGCAAGTAGAACAAGAAAATTACTTCAACATGGAAAAGATTCAGAGAAAGAAAAGAGACTTGAGTCAACTTATCAATAAGAAAGCTTCGGGGGGTACAACGGAAGTATTATCCGCAATTGATCTGTTTGCCAAGTCTAAAGAAGGACAGACTGATGGCCCTATAGTAACAAAGAAAATATATAACATTTCTAACAACAAACTTTTGGTTAGTGCATGGTATTTTTTACTAATATACACAAGTATTGCATTTATAATTATGGAATTTACTGTGTTCCACTTTTAAAGGTACTTGTAGCAAAAGACTTAGGTAAGACAAAAGTTTATTTGGCTACGGACCTCAATGAGCCTGTTATTCTTCATTGGGCTCTATCAAGGAAACCTGGAGAGTGGTTGGTAAGATGCATGAAGTGATTAATGCAAGACTTGTAAATATCTAAATGTTTAAATTCTGAACAGCTTGCTCAGCTAATTTTAAAATCACCGATGGTGAATAATTTTCAGCCGCCGCCTCCAAATATGTTGCCTTATGGATCGATTTCCTCACAGAGTTATGCTGAAACCCCGTTCTCAAGCAGTTCTTCTGATAGTTTATTGCATAAGGTATACATATTATCCTTTATTTTAGATTATTTTTGGTAAAACCTGAAAATACTGAAAAATCAGTACTGAGAGTTAATGGAGACCAATGATTTCAGCATATGAATTTCTCAGGTCCAATCCTTAGAAATTCTTGTGGAAGGTGGAGAATTTACGGGCATGCCATTTGTTCTTTTATCTGGTAGGACATGGATAAAAGACACGGGGTCGGACTTTTATGTTGACTTTATTACTCAACCTGTGGAGGTAAAATGAAATGATCGTTGATAATTAATTCCTTATTATCACATAAGAATATTTTTATGTAACACTGCTATTTTTCCTTTTACTAGGATGGTAGGGGGGTTGCAAAGGCTTTGTTGGATAAAATAGCAAATAAAGAGCGTGAAGCTCAGAAATCCTTCATGCACAGGTGAGTGGCTTGTTAGCTTTCTAAATCTGTATCATAAAGTGCAGTTTGCTTTCTTATTTTAGATATCATTCGTGGGGCTCATCCAATCGGTATCTTTGAAGAATAGTTATTTTTACTGGAGCAACTAAATGCTTTGTTATTTTGGAGTGTGAATGAGCCCCACAATGCCTTATGAGACAGGTTATTCTGTGCTCATGCACAGTCTTATTTGATTGCATTTAGATATGTCATATCTGTTTATGTGAATGTTCAGTTTGGTGTTGAAGCATATTGTTAATTTGTAGTCTGAAATAATGCTAATATGTTAATGTTAGAAGGGTGATTCAGTTTTCCAAAATGATATTTCTCTAATGTTACTGAACACATTATGGAATTTAGGGAAGTCTCTTTCACTATGCTCTCCTAGACTTCTTATATTTTCCCACAGATAAGACATGATTTATTTGTTAGTTGCTCTGATTATATAGTACCTCTTGAAAAAATGGTCACAAGTACATAACATATTTTTCATATCTACACAGGTTTAATATTGCAGCTGACTTGACAACAGATGCCTTAAATGCTGGCGAGTTAGGTTTTGCTGCAATTCTTGTGTGGATGCGGTTTATGGCTACAAGACAGCTTATATGGAACAAAAACTACAATGTAAAGCCACGGTAGGTTATTCTCGAATATGCATCTCAGCTTCTTTTATTTAATACAGAGTATATGTGTAAGGTTTTATTCATTAAAACACTTGGAGACGTGAAGTGACGTTTGCTGTTAATTTTGTTCGTATATAGGGTGCATGATTTCCTTATGGAAAGTAATGCTAAATTTTAACCATGTTTTTGTGATAATATGATGCAGTGAAATTAGCAGATCTCAGGACAGGCTGACAGATATGCTACTGAATGTTTATATAAATTTTCCACAGTACCGTGAATTATTGCGTATGATTATGTCAGCTGTGGGGCGTGGAGGAGAAGGAGATGTAGGTCAGCGCATAAGGGATGAAATACTGGTTATTCAGGTTATTGTATCTGTTTTGGCTTTAACTTAATATATTCAGTTTTCTGAGAATGGCTACTGATGTTGGCACCTTTTAACTGCAGCGGAAGAATGATTGCAAGGGTGGAATGATGGAGGAATGGCACCAGAAACTTCACAATAACACTAGCCCTGACGATGTTGTGATATGTCAGGTACCATGGATGCTTTTGTGCTAGATATATCTTTTCTGCTGATAAGTTTCTTCTTTAAGCGGTTAGGTGATTTACTTCTACAGGCATTAATTGACTATATCAGCAGTGATTTTGATATTAGTGTTTATTGGAAAACCCTGAATTCCAATGGAATTACAAAAGAGCGCCTGCTAAGTTATGATCGCGCTATCCATTCAGAACCAAAATTTAGAAGAGATCAAAAGGAAGGTCTCTTACGTGATCTGGGAAGCTATATGAGAACATTGAAGGTTGGTGAACACTCTTTTTATCTTCTTTGATGTAAATTATCTGCCACAATATCTTCCAACTCTGGTACTATATTAAACAAGCTTTACTTCTAAATTAGGCATGCATGACTCAGTGTGTTTGTCAGGCTCAAACAATGGTTATATAATTATAACTTCAGTTAGAATTCCAATAAATTATGATAGAAAGGCTGGACTCTTATTTATTTGAGGAACTTTACTCAGAGAGGGATATCCTTAAATAGTCTATTAGTCAACAAGTTCACTTCATGATTACTTCATTCCTATTATGCCTACATGACTGAGATAGGAAGCCTAAATTTGATATTTTTGCAGGCAGTCCATTCGGGTGCTGATCTTGAATCTGCCATTGGAAATTGCATAGGATACAAAGCTGAGGTGATATATTAATAAGATTTTATTGCCTCAGTTGATTTTTTTTCCGAATCCCATTATCTGAAATGGTGCTTGGTTCTCCTCAGGGTGAAGGCTTCATGGTTGGTGTGCAGATAAAACCAGTATCGGGCTTGCCATCGAGACTTCCAGTATAACATTGTGACCCGGCCCCTTTCATATACCAGTTGGATAATACATTTCAGTTGACAACTAACGAGATTCTCTTAAAATTTATTTTTAGGAATTGCTTAAGTTCATCTTAAATCATGTGGAAGATAAAAAGGTGGAAGCTCTTCTTGAGGTCTGTCATCCACCAATGCGATTGACCTTTAACAGTCACGCTATAAATACTCCATTAATTGTTTTTGATAACCTTGGTATTCAGGGTTTGCTAGAGGCTCGTGAAGAGCTCAGGCCACTACTTTCCCAACCAAACAACCGCCTAAAGGATCTCCTGTTTCTTGATATTGCTCTTGATTCTACTGTGAGGACAGCTGTAGAAAGGGGCTATGAAGAGCTTAGTACTTCAAATGCGGAGGTATTTTTTGTATTTTAATAAAAGAAAACAACACTTTTAATCCTGAGGTGTACCCATGGTGTAGGCTCATTCTCTTTGTGCTCATGAGCTTCAGTTTTGGTCCCTAAATTAATTGCAAAGTGAAGATTTCCATCGTTGAATGCTGCGTTTTTTGGGGGGATAGGGAAGATCTATTCAGGGGCTACAAACACCACTTTAAGCTTGAAAAGTGACATTTTACGGTGAACTCAGCTACTCAGGGACCAAAAATGTTATTTTAAGCATTTTGCTTACACAATGTAGTATATTGGGATGTATTAATCCTAGCTCTCTTAAAATATTTATTTTGAGGTATTACTATTACTATTTATGAACATTTTCTTTTTTTTTTTGCAGAAAATTATTTATTTCATCACCCTTGTAATTGAGAATCTTGCACTCTCTATGGATGATAATGAAGATCTTGTCTATTGCCTAAAGGTATATGTAGAGAGCGGTCTTCTAATGTTTTTTGCTTACAACCATTTTTACTCATGCTGGCTCTCTTCATCCGTCTCTTCTTCTTATGCTGGCTCTCTTCATGCACCTCTTCTACTATTTCTGGTTCTCTTCGTGCATTTCTTTGGCTAGTGTTGCTAGACTGTATGATAATTTTACATGTATGAGGGGGATTTGGGAAAAAAACTTAGAAACTTCAGTAACAATAATATTTGAGGATTTATATCTGTCAAAGTTAATATATCCAATGGTCAACCACTTTCTACCCCGTGTATGCCTCAACCCCATTCATCACATTGCTAGTTTTCTCACCATGAAAGAAATATGGTTCGTATGAGTTGACCCCAAATGTAGCTCCTCTACCATGTAGATTGTAGAAGTCTTCCACACTGTAGTAATATGTTTAGATAATGGGACAGCCAAAGAGTTAAACGCCACAGGCTGAGTACATTTACCAGATATTTCTATACTAACATTCGGCACCGCTGTTCTTGTGAAGGGATGGAACCATGGTCTGAGCATGATGAGAAGGGGAAACCATTCTTGGGCTTTATTTGCAAAATCAGTCCTTGACAGGACCCGACTTGCTCTTTCCAGCAAAGCACAGTGGTACCATCATCTACTGCAACCATCTGCAGAATACCTGGGAACAAAACTTGGGGTGAATCCGTTGGCAGTATGTTACTACCAAAAAACATAGTACTAATTATCTTCCTGAACTAAGAACATTCAATTATGATGTATGTACTCTCTTATTACAGGTGAATATATTCACTGAAGAGATCATTCGTGCTGGATCAGCTGCTTCCTTATCCTCACTTATTAATCGACTTGATCCTGTTCTTCGACAAACTGCTAATCTAGGAAGGTTGGTTTTATTGCCACAATCTCTTTTTGAGCTATTTAAACAATGCTTTGAGTGAATAAGTACTTGGTATTACAACCAACTAATCTTTTTTCCCTGGTCAATGAAAATATGGAATTTGAGCTCTTTTCAGTGTGAAACAAAAGGGAGTCCTGTAAAGCCCATTAAGACTGAGGTTGAAAATAAGTGAAGGGTTGATCTTAGGGTAGATGTGTATTTTTTCTTACTTAAGCATCTTCATGACGATATTTATGTTTATACAGCTGGCAAGTCATCAGCCCAGTTGAGGCTGTAGGCTACATTGTTTTCGTAGATGACTTGCTCTCTGTTCAACACAAATCCTATAAAGAACCAACAATTTTGGTAGCAAAAACTGTAAAGGGAGAAGAGGAAATTCCTGATGGTGCCACTGCTGTATTAACACCAGACATGCCAGATGTTCTCTCTCATGTTTCTGTTAGAGCAAGAAATGGAAAGGTATAATGCACCCTTTGTAGCACGTAATCATGTTGGAATATGAATTACTATAACGCGTGACATGAAAGTACTTTATCTTTGGCAGGTTTGCTTTGCTACATGCTTTGATCCTCATGTTCTGGCTGACCTTCGAGCAAAAGAAGGAAGGATTTTGAGCATAAGGCCTAGATCTGGTGATATAATATACAGGTAACTTTGTTTAGCTCTAAAACCTTTTGCTGAATGCTTGTATTCGAATGCAACAACAGTTAATGGTTGTTTTGCTCTCCTATATCCAGTGAAGTGGAAGAGGTTGAACTCGTGAGAACAATTCATATCGAGGGCGATGACCATTCTCATGCCTTGAGATTGGTAAAAAAACACTTTGCGGGTAGATATGCAATAGCATCTCAAGAGTTCACCAGTGAATTGGTGAGGCTTTCGTGTTACTTTTGGAAGGCACTTGGCTTATTTTTTTTATCTAGTTCTTACTGAAGAGTCAGGTGCTCTCTGATATATTTTCCTTGTTGAGGTAATCTATTGAATTTATGTAAAAGCATATCTTAGTAGAGTCTGAACAAAATTCAATTGAAATATATGCCTAGGTTGGAGCTAAATCACGTAACATTGCAAATTTGAAGATAAGGGTGCCATCTTGGATTGGAATTCCTACTTCAGTGGCCCTTCCTTTTGGAGCTTTTGAACAAGTTCTTTCAGACATTGTTAATAAGGTTATGTGCTATTTGAAAGCTGTTTTAATCGATTTTTTGCTAATTTTCAGTTTATGAACTGATCTGTCCAAATCTAACATCTTTTCTGGATGCATGTCTAATTGGGTTAATCTTTGACCTCAATTGTACAATTAAAATGACACTAAAACAGTTGAAGATGGATTCTGCCTGGAATGAGAAATTCTTAGCTGTAGTAGCAAAATATTGGTGTTCATTTATTTAGAAAAGCATTCATAGTATCAACTACTATCACTTAATAATGTTTACCAAATTGTATGTGCAAGTAGTCAGTTTGTATTTGATCTTTATTTCGTACTGAAAATATAGCGGTGTTGAAAATTAAGTTTCTTGGAACTAAAAGAACCTAGCTATAGTGACACTCGTCATTTTATTAATGTTGTGGATAAAGTATGATTGACACTCACAATGATGAAAGTCATGAAACTAACTCGTTATTATCGTTATTATAGGCTTATAGAGAATGCATGTAGAGAATGCATCATTGAAAATTAAAATCCCGATGGTAAATTGTACGTCAATTCTAACTCGGGCTGCTAGAAGTTTTAGAGCAAAAAGATATTAGGGAAATATATGTTAGGGATAGATACATCTACTGCTATGCTTCTATTTCTTGTGGAAACTAGTTTTACAATTTTATCTCTTTCTATTTCTCTTATTTTCATGTTAACATGTTTGTTTTCTGATATGTGGCAGGATGTGGCAACAAAATTGCTAGTTCTCAAGAAACGATTATCTGCAGGAGAGTTCAGTGTCCTTGGTGAAATCAGAAAAGCAGTTTTAGAACTTTCTGCCCCCTCCCAACTGGTACTGTTATCTTTCTCGTCTATTTCTCTTGCACTTACTCTCCACAAATGGATCCACGAGAGATGGGGAAGATAGGACAACTTAAGGGGTGGACAAATGTGTCAAAGCCATCTCAACTGGGCTGCCCCATATCACGGGACACCAAAAAAACACACAAATACAATAAAACCAATGCCATATTAAAGACTTAAAGTGGGTTTGATGCATCCCAAAAGGATCCTCAAGAGGCGATATTCACCTCACGCTTATATATTAGACTCAAACGCGGTAATGTCCAACATGGAATACTTGACAGTATGCAGTATGTATTGTGTTGATAGGGATTCCAGTATTGTAACAGTAAATTGAGGAGTATTATTGATGTAAAACTGAGAAACGAAGAAGATGATACAATTGAGGCACTTCGAGAGGCACTCACTCTCCAAAACCCAAGTCCCGATTCTAAAATCAGCCTCCTCTCCATATTCTCCCCTTTCCCTTTTTATAGTAATTATATCCTAATGGGCCAGCCCACATTATATGACATGGCCCAGCATCCTTATTTGTACCTATTACACTCTTTATCTATTATTCTAGTACTATTATTAGTATTTATATCTATATTCCTATCAATACTCCCCCCCTGAACAACCACCTTGTCCTCAAGGTGGGGAGTAAGAACCAGCCATGCCATTCAACTTCTTTCTCGCACCTCTTCCTTCCCAGTATCTCCCTATTGATTGGACCATGTGCTTCAATGCTTGAAACTTTAAAATGAAGGATGTTTCTGTTGCAGAAGTTATATCGGGAGAAGTTTTATTTTCTTCAGTCGCCTTTGAGCTTTCAATAGGAACAAATAGCTCCTTTTGCTGTTCTTTTCTGTCTTTAACCGTTAACTGCTTTGATATTGTTGCTTCCAGACTTTCTAGAAACAATCCATCATTTCCAGCACTGAATGTATCCATGTCTTTACTGAATTGAAGGAACTTGTGATTCTGAAAACTCGCAGCTTTGGTATTCTTCAACCCTGTGTGGACTTGCTGTTCTTTTAACTGCAGAAGAGTAATGACACAGTTTGCCAACTCATCTCGGTTATGCACAATTATTGTTGCACATTTGTTGCTGTCAAGAAATCCTTTATTCAAGGCATTTACAATACCATATTTCGTATAATTCCCAGCAAGTATAAACCTCATTCTATTTTGAATATACTTCATACAAGTATCACTATCAAATCTGAAACCATCAGTCATATTCAGCTCTTCCAAACTATTGTTTAGTAAACAAGGTTGCATAATTTCCTTAAGACCACCCAATCCAAGTTCTGGAATGCTGCCAATCCCAGCTTTAAAATCTTCTGGGTTTCTGGGTGCAGAACCTGCTGCAAACTGAGGTGGTGTATCTGCAAGCCACTTGCAGCCGGTCATCCCTGAAGTCCAGCACTTAGTGGTCCAATCAAATTCCCTCTTCCACCATAGTCTTCCACTAGCATCCCTCTGAACTGATCCCGCTTGTACATCCTCCTTGTTCACATACATCCAATCCTTCCATGGCTTCCTAAATGGAGCAGTAGCTATTAAATTGGACTGCCAAGGAATAGCAGTTCTTGCTGAAGCTTCATGAACTGTAGTTAGCAGATCAACGACTAACACACCCGATGTATCGTATTTCTGGTTATCTGTAACCTTCATTCCATTTTCCTTATCATTCCCAGCCAATCCTACTCCCAATCCCTTTTTGATATGATTCCTAGAATTCCAGTCATTACTTTTAAAATCCTCAATCTGCTTCTGCCCTTCCAACATTCCCTTTGATGAAGGTTGATGCACCATATCTATTGGGACACCCAATTCCAGTTCAAGAACTCTACCAATCCAAGATTTAACATCTTCTGGTTTCCTGTTTAAGGCACTGGTATACCTTCGGACTTCATGGGTATCTGGTTTGTGCTTTTCGGACTCTTCCCAATTATCTGATGGTTCAATGCTTTCTGCCCCTTCCTGAATATCATCCTTCTTCTTCAATTCTTGAACTGAAGATTTAGACAACGTTTGCTTCAACTCAGTGTTCCGTGTAGGTGGTGGAGTTCCAAACAATGAAAATTGCATCTGGTGCGTGAAGTCTAGCGAATACAAGTTGTGCGAGTCCGCCAGTGAGGAAGTCTGTGATCTTGGAGAAACGAGAGAATGAGTTCGCGATAGCGAACTGAAAGATGGGGTTCGCGACTGCGAACTGTGATATGAACTTGTAGTTCCTGTATGCGATTGCGACTGCGACGGCGTATTAGAACGGGAAAAAGTTTCTCGCGATTGAGCATACACCTGCGCAGTTGACTGGGACCCTTCATGTCGCGCTCGACTTGTCACTGAATCCTTCCGCGAGTGCGAGGACACCTTCGCTCGTCTGGAATCGCGCGAATCCTTTCCGGAGTGCGAAACAGTTCGCGATTCCTGCGAACCAGAAGAAACAGCTCGGGATTGGTGACGATGATGAGATCGCGATCTCCTACCCTCACGGTTTTCCTCGATCATCGCATCCATCTTTCCTATCATCCCCACTAGTTTTCTGGTCATCGCTACCATCATATCATGATTACGCTCCATAGTAACATGAATCCGCTCCATCCGTTGTTCCATTTTTTCTCTTATACGAACCATTCACAACAAGAACGGGAAAAAAAAATCTGGTAATTCAATGAAGAATCAGGTCACCAGAAAGGATGCTCTGATACCATTGATAGGGATTCCAGTATTGTAACAGTAAATTGAGGAGTATTATTGATGTAAAACTGAGAAATGAAGAAGATGATACAATTGAGGCACTTCGAGAGGCACTCACTCTCCAAAACCCAAGTCCCGATTCTAAAATCAGCCTCCTCTCCATATTCTCCCCTTTCCCTTTTTATAGTAATTATATCCTAATGGGCCAGCCCACATTATATGACATGGCCCAGCATCCTTATTTGTACCTATTACACTCTTTATCTATTATTCTAGTACTATTATTAGTATTTATATCTATATTCCTATCAGTGACTCTGAGTTTGCTGCCTTCCACATTACGGGACCTTGTATATCTTCATCATTTTTTCATTCTTTTCTGTGCTTCCTGTGAATGATTACACTTCTGGTGAAGATCGATGTTCCCAAGATGTAGTTGAATACTTGAATATTTGGATTGGTGAGCAAGATCTTAGCGTTCATTCCTAACTAGTAATCACAAATGCTATGACTCAAATAATATTTCAGGTCAATGAACTCAAAGACAAAATGCAAAGTTCTGGTATGCCTTGGCCTGGTGATGAAAGTCCTAAGCGGTGGGAACAAGCTTGGGTGGCAATAAAAAAGGTAACATTATAACAAAGTGTACTATTTATACCACACACACACACGCATATGTGTGTGTGTGTATTTGCAAAGTAGTCCTTTTCTTGTTAAAGGATATATGAGGATGAACTTTTTGTCATTGTCCAGTTAGTTTTTATATCCTATGTTGTTATTGGCTAGGTACTTCATGTGAATCATTGGCTTTCTAATCATAGGCATTAATGATTATTTCCCAGGTCTGGGCTTCAAAATGGAATGAGAGAGCATATATTAGCACAAGAAAAGTGAAACTAGACCATGATTGTCTTTGCATGGCAGTACTTGTTCAGCAAATAATAAATGCTGATTATGCATTTGTTATCCATACAACTAACCCATCCTCTGGTGATGCTTCCGAGATATATGCTGAGGTAATGCAATATTAAATTTTTTTTTGTGCTCATTTGATTAAATCCCGTGACGTAGCTGGGGCCAGGGGGTAGAGCCCGTGACCTAGCCCACCCCAAGTTCGATAAAAACATTTTATGTGTATAGACAGGATTTGCCTTAAAAACTAATAAAAAGTGACTATATCCCCTTCTCATCACAGATTCAAATTTTGGGGTCCTAGGTAGTGGGTACATACCTATGAGTTAAATATATTTGGAGCATTTTAAACTCAAAGCATTAACCTAGCTTTTCGATTATTTTCAATATGTTAATCTGATGAAAATAAAGTTGTTTCCAAGATAGGTATATGCATTACAAATCTTTGAATAGAACATGCATTCCTTTTGATCTCAATGTCATTAACCAGCAGTGATTTTAATTTCTAGTTAACAAGCTAAAAGGTTTTGAACAATCAGTATATCTGGTTGAATTCTGAGTCCAAGCTTTAGGTCTTTTTAATTATGTGCACAACCAATTGTTAATTAAATGCTGCATTGACATACGTAGTATAAGTTATGTCATTAGCTTCAGCAGTATAATGACCCAGTACTGAAAGTTACTCCTGTCCTGCTAAGATTGTCCCAGCTCATATTCACTTGGTCAACACAAATCACTCTTAATCTCTTACTTTACCCATCAAATTTTTATTAAATTTAATTCTGGTTTTTGCGAGTTCATAAAACTTTTAATGTAGTTTCTGAATATGTAATTTTTTTCTAAAAATTTTTGGTAATGGCCCATTGCTTAAGTTATTTGACTTGTGACTGCAACGGATTGGATAGGTTGTCAAAGGCCTAGGTGAAACGCTGGTTGGGGCTTATCCAGGCCGTGCCATGAGTTTCTCCTGCAAAAAGAATGATCTCAACTCTCCTCAGGTATCACCATATATCATATACATGTCTAGATTCTTGAAGAAATTAACAGGCATCATCATCTTCTCATTTAAATGTCTAAAATAAGTTGTAACATGTAATTTATGTAAATTGAAGTGTAACTTATTGCAAAATGCTCAACATTGAGTATTTTCAGGTGCTAGGATACCCAAGCAAACCCACAGGACTTTTCATAAGGCCGTCTATAATCTTTCGCTCTGACTCGAATGGCGAAGATTTAGAAGGTTATGCTGGGGCAGGGCTTTATGACAGGTAAAGCCTTCACACTACTTTTATTGGAGCCCTTTTATTTTAATGGTGAGTTTGGAGCAAGAGGCGATCAGCTTTTGGCGGGTGACATTATTAACGGCTCCCCCAGTCCCAAATTGATTAACATTTTAGAAAAGCATCACATATTAATGAATCTTGCAAAATGACTCTTTTCTTTTAATTTAAGCTGAACATAAATAAAATGGGCATATTTTGAAGATAAGGAAACAATACACATAAAAAAAATTAAAATTATTTTGGGACAATTTTTCTTGGTTAAGATGACAACTAATATGGGTGGAGAGGGGTACATATAAAACTGTGAGAGAAAAAACATGTGACTGATTGATGTTTCATTAATAAAATAGACTCCTTCCGTCCATAATATAAGATATATGTGAGTTTGGCGCGAGTTTGAACTTTTAAGAATAAAGGATAAAGTGGTTATTTTACAATTTTAACCTCCAAAAAGTAAGAAAGAGTAAGATAGGTTCTCAAAAAATGAAGAGTAAAATGATAGATACAAGTATAAAATGATAAAAGCAAAAAGTTAGCAAGTTCAAAAAGAAAAAATGTGCTCGTATTACAAATTGGGACGAAGAGAGCAAAATTTATGAATGACCTCAACATGGTAATAAAGGGGCCTTAAAATAAATTCAAGTACATTTTGTGCTGATCATTTCCCAATCCACTCCTTCAGTGTGCCAGTTGATGAAGCAGAGAAAGTCATACTTGATTACTCATGTGATCCATTAATAACGGACCCCGACTTCCGCCAATCAGTACTCTCAAAAATTGCAAGTGCTGGAAATGTGATAGAGGAGCTCTATGGACATTCTCAGGACATTGAAGGTGTTGTGAAGGATGGGAATGTGTTTGTTGTTCAGACAAGACCTCAGATGTGATCTCCACTTGCCAGTGTGCTGAAACATATGGGATTGCAGTATGCAGGCATTATTTAAGGTTGTTAATGTGGGCTGCATGCATGCTAGAAGAAAATAAAGGTAATGCACTAATATTGTTTGTGAAGAAACAAACAAACAAATTCTTATACAACTAATACTAAAACTGCAAGTCATATAAATTTGAAAGAGTTGGTTGTGTTGCTATATTTGTCAAACAATTGATTGTTTTGGTTGAAATGGTTGAGAGTGGGGCAGAATAGTACGGAGCAGAATACTTTAATTTCAGTGTATTGTCTTGAATAAATTAAATGAAATGATGGCATTGTCTGGCAATACCATGGTACGGTGGGTTTTGTAGAGACATCATTTGTGTGTGATGTACTTCTACAAGTATGGGAATAAATTCTGGCCATCTTCCCTTTGTTTTCTTTTTCTTTTTTATGTTTTTTTTATCATTTTATCTTATATACACACACACACATGTAGTAATAGTATTCCTTTATACTTTTTTTTTTTTGGATGAAATGTAAATATATATTAACACCCAGAAAAATTATACATCAAATGTCCTAGATCTCCTAAAACCTTCCCCACCCCCACATAGTGTAGGGGTGGAAGGAGGTTTTTTTTGGGGGGGGGATATATTAGTAGTATTCGCGTGTGGAATTTCTGGACAACCCCGCCTTCTCATAGAATTTTTTGATGACATTTTGTGAGCATTTTTCTAACGTGTGTATTTGCACAATTGCACCCCATTTTATTGTCCAAATTAGACTTTGCACCCCATTTTTAAAAAACTTTGTATTTGCACCCTAACTCCGTATGAATGGACAAAAATGTCCATCGATCATGAATATGTTGAAGGTCAACAAAATTGTTAATGGATGGGCATTTTTGTCTTTTCATACCGGGTTGGGGGTGCAATACAAAATTTTTCAAAACAGGATGCAAAATCTAATTTGGACAATAAAATGGAGTGCAAACTCAAATTATCTCTTTCAATTTATCCTTATGTTCATTCTTGATACACTATATAATATCAATGGAATTAAATTAAAGGATATATGAAGTATTTCATAGTGAACTTTGACCTCTGAGTCTCTGACTTGGCATATTTATAAGTTATTGTACATAATGAATTCTCAATTAAGAAACAATTTGTTTTTATAAATAATTATTTGCTATTTTATTAAAATTTAAGTGCACTGGTTATCCTAGAGACAATATAAACAAATGTGGAAAGTTTTCTGGATCACTATTGATTCACGTTTTAGAATATAATATTATCATTTCAAAATAATACACACACACATATACATGGTATGCTATTAAAATATGAAAGACATATGCTTGGTACTCGGTAAAATCTCTAAGTTTAGATGAGTTAATGTACAAATGTACAATTTTGTATAATAGTCATTAAAATTATATATGAGTTAATGACATATGCTTGGTAATCCATATACTAGTCATTAAAATTACCATTAAATAGTATAAATATCATGAAAATATTAATCGTAAATGAAGTCGGAATAAAAAATCAAAGATTGAATTGAAGGATGCTTGTGTGTAAATACTGGACACACAATCTTGTATACTCAATTTTTATATAAAAAAAATTCATACACATTATAAATTATTTCATGGACAAATTTCATTTAATTTGTTTTTCGTACGATACCCAAAATCGGTTGACTAATAGTATACGGAGTAGTAAGCTAACGATATTTTGGGAGTGTTCAACTGCTTCTGCTAAAAAAAAGCACTTTTGGTGTGATTTGAAAAAGTGATTAACAGTAAAAGTTGATAATGTATGAGAAAAAAGTGATTTTGAAAAGTAAAAGTTAGTATTGTTTGGTAAAATAAGTGTTTTTTGTGTAATAGAAAAGGTAAAAACACTTTTCACACGAAAGCCGATAAAAGTAAAAATTGGTAATGTTTAGTAAATAAGTGCATTTTTAAGCCAAAAGCCGAGAAGAACTTTTAATTTTCCTTACGTTTGAAAACTACAGAGTATAAATTTATTAAAAAATAAGATTTCAATCATCTTGTGACTTGTCACTACAATTAAATGATTAATTGATTGGATTAAAATAACAAAATACTGCTCCCATCTTTTAAAACTTTGTCATCTTTAAACTTTTTAGTCAAGCAAGTTCAACTTTGATCAATTATATATATTTTTAGAAATTTATTATTCCCTCCGTCCCGGAAATAAGTTTCACCTTTCCTTTTTGGACAGTCACTAAATTAAGTTCCCACTTCCTTACACTTCCTAAAGGGAAAGTTCCCGAAATAGGACTAAAACAGTTTGAAAATTCCAAAATAGGACTGTCATGTTTTTTATTCCCAAAATAGGAGTAATTACTGTCAAGTTTGGAAAAAACGCCATGTTTGAAGTCTGGTACTGCCAAAACATGGCAGTAATTAATCCTATTTTGGAAATAAAAACATGTCAGTCATATTTTGGAATTTCCAAACCTTTTTAGTCCTATTTTGGGTAAATTCTCTTTGACCAAATTATCTACATCAAAACAATGGAAAACGGTGCCAAACAATGTTCAAATAGCGTCGAAACAGTGTCAAAATAAAAAAAATTACCCCTAGTAAATTTATTTCCTTAATATGTGTGAAATTCATCTAGGAACTAGTTTCTGGAACGGAGGAAGTATAATATAAAAATGATTTAAAAATATTCTTTGTTAAAAGTGCTTTCATAAAAGCATAAATTTATAATTTCCTAAATATTATACTAATGAAAATTATTGTCTAACTTTTATTAATAGACTTGAAAACTCAAAGGTGACAAAGTTTAGAGGGATGAATTAAAGTAGCTATGTTTAACAAACCGGACTGGGCAGCGACCCAGCCACATGACTGGGTCACAGGTCAACCCAGACCCGGTGGGTCAACCCGATCAACAATTATACATCTATATGATAATAATAAACCCATAATTATATACAAAATTATACTAAAAATTAAGTAGTTATTATTCATAATAATCAACTAATTTAACAATACTACTCATTAAGCATTTAATACAATCTCATAATATTTCAAAGTATAATTTTGATCCTATAAAGTATATATATATATTGATATTTTTATTTGTATTGTACATTTAGATTATAATTTGGCATGATTTTCATTCTTAAATAAATATACAAATATATTACATAGTTTTTCTTTTTAGGGTATTGAAAGTGCAATTTTATTGGTTTAAAAAATGGACTACAGTTAAAAAAGAAATTACTTTTTTTTTTGAAAAATACCCAAAACCGGTTTTCCCGGGTTTTTTGGGTCTAGACTGGGTTTTTCTGGTTTTCGACCAGGCCATTTCCGGATTTTGAACAAACCGAACCAGATTTTTGTCCGGGTCACCGGGTTCCGGGTCAGTTTTTTAAACATAGGAAAGTAGTACTCCAGTCTCCATATATGCTTTTTAGGCTTGAGGCTCCCCCTAATCTCATTTAAACTTGGTTCAAGATTTGATCGCGTCACTTTGTTAGCTCACATTTTAAACACTGTATACTCTATTGTCTATATAATGCTCTTTATCACTTTTTGAAAAGAAAAAAGATAAAGTTCCAGGCTTTGTATTGGAGACTGCAAACACATCTAATCATTTCCACCAAATCGGCGCATCCTCAAACTTTGATCTTCATGCATGCCTTTCCTCGGTCTATTTGATATGGAAGCAAATAGACCCTTTAATCAGCCTTGGATCTTGTTGCCAATAAGATTCTGATTCAACACAAACATCGGCAGTTTTTTTTACCTTAACAAACTTAATTCAATTCACTATTATACAATGAGGGAAATTTAGTGAATACCCTAACAAGAATATTGCACAACAATTAACTTGTCCCCTTAGGAAACAACACAACCGTTGTTAGAACCTTCGGAGTATCATTTAGGGCATTTAGTAAAACATATATGCACCACAATTTATTTTAACTTGAAGTACAAATGTTGGAGTTTTGGATTATATCCTTCTAAAACGCTTTGAAATATACGGTAGTACTCCATTAGATAAACTTTATACTCACTCTTTTCCCAACTACATATTTTCACTTTAAATTTAAATTTAGGTTTGATATATTTATCCACATTGATGAGAATCTAAATGTTATTACTAAATTAATTTCCGATATTAAGTTGCACTAACATACATATTGATAATCATATCCACGCACATTGCTCTTTTAAATGTTATTTCGGATTCTTTGGGTGTTTTTAGTTGGATTAGTTTCAGTCGCAGACTAAAATAAACCATATCAGACTTCAATTCGATAGTTGTGAAATACACATAAAACTTATACCTATCAAACCAGACAAGACTAGAACAAAAAATTTCACTCCAATTAAAAATACTCTGATAGTTATATACAAAGTAAGATTTACGATTAAATATGGTAGAGATTGTGACCCTTGACATTGTGATTAATAGTCTAAAGAGTATAAAATTAGATTCTTTTACAAAAATTGAACCATGTATAAGCATTCAGGTTTATTAATAATCACAAAAATTGTAAATGGAAGGGCGATTGGAAAACTTGCTCTCGTTAGAGCATCTACAATGGTTCTCTTTGAGAACCATGTAGTATTACTACCTCCGTATCCTATTTAAGTTCACACTTTGACTTCACAAGGATTAAGAAAATAAATTTGACTTTACTGTGGAGTGCACCGTATAGACACTGTTTGACACTGTTTTGCACTACTTTGGTGTAGATCTGTTTGCTAAAATGGAAGTGTGAACTTAAATAAGAGACATCCCGAAAAGGAAAGTGGGAACTTAAATAAAGTACGGAGGGAGTATCACTCTATCATTGATAAGAATAGAACTTCATTTTTCCATACTGAAATCGTTATTGTACTCCATACCTGGTTCCTGTTCAAGTCTGATTGGACAGTTCCGGGTCCTAGTAAATAACCATCAATTATGGTCCAGCTCGATTATCAGATTATTGCCTACTCGTGACAGTTACAAGGCAAAATAAAAAGTCTACATAATATTTTGAGGAGAGGAACATAAAAGAATAGAAAATCGCTATATTTAATGACGATTGAAAACTTGAATGCACATAAACTTTTGTAGATTTTAAAACTTGAGAAAAGGGGCCATAAAGTGTATCAAGGCCCTTAAACTTTTTCTATGAGCAAAAACCTTTAAAATCTATGAATTGGAGAGCATCCATCCCCTATGCTTAACGGCAACAGGTAATACGTATGTGCCGGGCAGATTATATCGTACAGTCGGCTGTACGGTGAGCACTGTACAGCCGGGTATTTTGTGAAATTAAATTAAACTTTCAGGCTTATAGTTACGGTGGCAGCCGGCTGCTTTCTCCGATTCTTCTTCGGTCTGCTTTCTATTAGCCGCACGTTCTCTACTCTGCTTTT